AAATTGGATACAAGAAATCATGTAATTCATCTATATCAAGCAGATAAGCTTTGCCTATATGAATAACAGTCATATTGAAATCCCTATATATGAAGTTTTAAAACATGCAACATTGTATATGTTTACAGAACTGATGATATCGATAACAGGTTTATAAAGCATTCCATCCTGGCGAGTGTAATTGCTGTTGGATGTGAAATTTAAAATAAAATAAATAACAACAGCAAAATAGATTGAAGTTTGTCATAGTCGTATAATAATTCATTGTCCATTCATAAACAGAAACGTAATTTTTGAACTGGCATTTTGTACAATTGATTACTATTTGTGATTGTTTATGTGATTGAGTATGTACATATAGTGATAATACTCAATAGTGAATACTATTAATGAGTTTGACTAGTATCATGTGCTATGTTTATGCTGAGAAACACTTTGACATCTAGTTGGACCAGCTGTTTGGAAACATCACGTCACTGTACCAGCATGTGAATATTCCATGCTTTGTGTTGAAGTTTGTGTTTGCTGGACATTAATTATAACTGGACCATACTGGGTTTGATGTTGGAACAACACAACAGTCATCATTGATGCCATGTAGGGGTTTCGCCAGAAAAACAAAATAGACGGCCTATTTTGTTTTTCCAAAATTGAAGCCAGTGGGCGTGGCACTGAGCCGATGGCGGGCCACGCCCATCGTTAGTAATCCCCATCGATTATTGGTACGAAAACGTACATTCAATCAATAAATGTTGTTTTTATCAAACGTAAATATGATTTACCTTTAGAATGTAACATTCGATAGATATATAAAGAATTTGCTAAAGGTAGACCAGGCCCAAAGGCTAGGCTGAGCTGATTAGGCCAAGCCGTCCAAGCCGTCACAGTAAAAGTTGCCGTCCTAATTAATTGTTGGCAGTCCAAAAGACGGCCGGACGGCTCGCTCGCTAATATACGCATGCACTATCTCGCCACTATATTTCCAGTAATAAATTTATCTATGCTGTCTTACCTATGAAATAGCGTGAAATATTTGTTTTATTTAGTTTATCTTTAAAATTTTATTTCGTAAAATATTGCACACAGGTAAGAAGTGAACATGCCACAGTTTTAAACTGATGGGCGCAGCCATGTTTGTTGTCTTGTCTCCGGTCGCGGTCACCACAGAGCGGTTCCTCCTTGTTTCTCTTTCGCGCTGTGGATGTCTACTTCAAAAGTGATGGAAATACCAACGCGCTGATTGGCCGACTTGGCTTTTCTGCACAAAGCATGAGACGTAAGCATCGGATCGGAGTTTAGTTTGCTAATACAGTATAAACCTAATCCCGAGTAAATCTTAATGCTTTGCATCGGCTGTACCGTGTATACAAATACACTCTTTTTATACTACTATAAAACTAGGCCTTTTCTAGATAGAAGCAAGGACTAGGCTAGCCTAGCCTAGACGGGACGATGAAGGAATGGAACTGCAGGGATAAGCCCAGTCGGCTGGCGTTCGGACGGATGGTAAACAATTCCTATATAAATTGCCTTCGGGAGGAGTTTTTGAGTGTTTTGTAAAAAAAAAAAAAGTTTTGCAAAAAAAAAAAAAAAAAAAAAAAAATCAGGTCGGGGGCTTTTCTGACGGTCGGGCGGGGATGCTAACCAATTGTTTTATTTTACGTGGCCTAATTAACTGTACTTCTAGTATACTAATGTAGTATTTCATGGCATACAAGTCATGTTTTGTATGTTTCTTCGACATATTTTTTCTTCAATATTTTTTTAAATCATTGGTTTTTGTGGTTAGCCCCATAAATTGTAACATTTTTCTATGGTTTTAATATAAAGTGGGTATACTATGTGAATATAATAAAGGATGAAATGAGACCCGGCACCACAAAACCAGGTATAAGTTGGCATTTCTCAACTTTGAGATTTTAATGGATTCTGATTCTCCATTTTATTACCTTTAAAATGATATATAACATGCCATGCAATGAAATTTGGCACACTGGTAGAATATACTATAAGGAACACAATCTGTAAATTTCACAAATTTTAATGAATATCTTCTGTACATAATAATGGATTAAATGTCAACAATATATATTAAACTGCCTGTTAAATATGAGAAAAAAAATTACACTACTGCAATACTAGTGTATTACATTTGTAGTTGTAGTGGCATCTGCAATACGAATAAACTATGGATAAACCATTTACACAATTAAAAGATAAACATAGAAAAATAAGTTATTAAAAATATTAATATTTAGGAGAGAAAAATAAGTTATTAAAAATATTAATATTTAGAAGTAAACGTTTATAATTTCTACATAGGAGCGCTGTACATTGTCGTTGAAACAAAAAGTAACAATAACCTAAAGACAAACTAATGTAAAATATCGAGGGTGCTACCAACCCAAATCTGAAGGATTGTACAGTATGTATTAACACTAGTGATCTACTGGTTCAACTGGCTCAGGACATACAATATCGCGAGTGGAGTGAGAACAAAACTGCAAACCAACCTTCTTGGTTTTTAAATGCTGCTTTTTTTTCTTTTCCTTTTTAATATGTATTAATTTTGATAACTTTTTAATTGTGCAATTTGGACCCCATTGGAGATGGGCTGGATTCCCGGCCTAATGGGTGTTCCAGATGCTCGTTGTATTTGATTATTGTAAAAAATTCCTATATTGTATTTCTATATTTTATATTTTATATATGAGCATCGAATAAATTCAATTCAATTCAATTCAATTATATTAGCATAGAGATACTGCTGCCTTGCGTATGATAAACCTGGCGGCGTTATTGGATCAGGCAAAGGCAATTCCAGTGGCGGGAGGATGTTTGGATTTTTCAGGAGCTGCATTGACGGCTCTTCACTATCTATATGTGCTCTGAAAAAAACAACTCCTGGATGGTCGTGACTGAACCTGTAAAACATAATTTTTAAAAACGTTTTTGAGTAATTTAATACACAAAATATTATTTTGAACACCCTGGTTGACACATGCCTGTAGAATTTTATTATCAAATTTTAAAAATCATTTTAAATTAAATAACCATGAATTTTAAATATAGTTACAGTGTTGTATTACATGTAACGTGTTAAAGCCTATTTTTTCATTGAGGAATGACACTTTTTAATCTATTGTTTTTGAAAATTGTAGTTAAGAATAAATTTCACGTTATGCATAGTAATAATTTTATATATTGAAATAGGATGTGTATTTATTCATGTAGGGAGTATATAACTTATGAATATTATAATACATACCTCATGTGATGACAAGCCAAGATGCCTGGGAAAGGCTTGAAATATGGTCCTAGAAAACGCTGCCAGTAATATGTGCATACATAAACCTCGCCACTCTCGGAGCCAACCACTCTTTGTTGATGACGACTTAACAACCTCCACAAGATCATCCAGGCAGCTCACCATAGATTTTCTATACCGTTGCTTCAACAATCCAAAACCCCAATCCAGGCCAAACTTAGTGTGACCTGCAATTAAAAAGTTCACGCTAATGCTTTCATGCAGGCCATTAATGGTTCTCCAAGCCAAGTACCACATTGCATACTTATTCTTATTCTGGCCTGGACAGTTGTCGCAATGCAATTGGCGGTGACGTTCGCCAAGCCCATCATTCTCAAAGAAGTCATGTACAAAGCTTAACACAGCAATTGACCCCTTGGAGACATTCATCCCTTCATCGATTAGATAGTTTTGTTGCTGCGGAACAGCCTCACAGTGAATGCCAAAAATGCCACATTTTCTATTGGTCAAAAAATAAGTGGGTCCAGGCTGCATGGGGTCGTGCGAGTACAACACCTGCTGTGCAAAATCGAAGGAATAATGCATTGGAATGGGCCGCGAACATGGTGCATTTTTTCCAAGCTTCACATCACCAGCTACTTGTTTCGCCTCCTCTACCATGGTTCTCAGCAGCTCCCGTTCAAGGCGAACAACACGCAAGTGCTCAAGTTGGACCTCCACTCGTTGGCGCTTCTGAGCCTCTGTCTGGTTAGCGCTTCGGTACACAGCGTTGTTACTGCGCTGGCAAGTCCAACAAAAGTCGCTTTGAGGTCTGGTTGTTATTATGTAGGGGCAAAACACTCTCCATATCTTGCTGAAGGTTGTCCGCTTCTCGATTCTGAGCTCTTTGTGGCCTGAATGACAGAAAAGTACATTATCACATTATTGTACATAAAGTAATAAAATAGCTATATTTTCTCCAGCTTTTCTTGATTCATCAGCTAGTAAGCATTTACAATACAGAAATAATAAAAAGCCTGTGAAAAAATAACAATAAATTGTTTGGTAGAGAAGTAAGCGTATCAAATTGAATATTGAATAATTGCATGTACTTACCAGCAACACGACGTCTCGCATTGATCTCCTTGAGCTGTGCTTCATATTTCCTCCACATTCCAGACTTAGTTTCACAGGAAGGCAGCAATCACACTCTCGGGTCTTGACATTTAATACCCCTTACTTTCCCAGGAATTACCATACCATTCACGTCGGCGTAGCTGCTGATGTATCCAACAATATGTCGTACATCTGACTCTGACAAGGCTGCCTTGTTGAAGCGTCGTCCCCCAGACTTCTTAATGGGCGGTGTTACACCAGACGTCTTGTAGTGGTTAATAATACCACTAAGTTGACAGTTTGATATGCTAAAATAAAGTAAAAAATAAAGTAAATATTTGATAAAAATAAACATCATTATCACATACAATGAAAAATTAACTACCCCATAGCCATATTCCATCATGTTGAATAGCAGCAGATTTAAATATAAGGAATTTGTACTGTATAATGTATCGCAGAACTTACCAGTGCATGTACTCAAACGACTGCCGACACACTTGTTTGCTTTCAACCAAATAGGTGATGCGGGATCGCTTCCTGTTTTCTTGATGTTTCCGTTTCCTCTTTAGGGTTTTCTCAGTTCTCTTAATTGTTGTACTGATCTTCCCCATTACAAACATCTTTCTCTCTGTAACAGTCAGTTCTTTCATTTGGGCTTGCATGTTTAAAACAAAAGTTTCCTCAAACTTGTTGAGGCATGGGTCTGGATTCTGCTTGTCTTTGTTGCGAGGGCAACAGCAGTGTTTGAATGTTCTTATAGCTAAACGTTCGTCATTTGCATCACCTACCCAATCTTCCTCGTTAGCATGTTTGGCTAGGCCTAGGCGATTAACAGCATCTAGGCCGGGGTCCACAATTATAGCTTTCCTACCTTGTTCTTCTGCTTCTTCGTTCTCACCGTCACTTTCTGTCATGTCCATAAGAATTTCGGATTCTTCATTATCCGAAGTAATTGCATCTAGGCCTAGAGCTATGCCTACATTGAGCTCATCGTCTGATTCGCTTTCGAACCCATCCTCCTCGTCCGAATCCTTTCGGTTCCCAAAGAATTCAGTAGCCAGTTCTCCAATGGTCGCAGTGTGGTCTTCGTTAAACCCCAAAAGCCGTGCACAATTTAGAGCTTCTACAATCTCCAATTCGGCTAACGAGGCCATGATGATTATTAACAACTAATAAATATAATATATTTCGAGATAAATTTGTAACTATATAAGGAAGAAACTTAGAAAACACTGTAATTCAGGATAAAACTTTTCTGTAGACCATGAACTGAAACCAAACGCGGAAGTAAAATAAACATCTGCGCATGGTCAGTTCGCGTCTACTCGCTATGTTTTTCAGTTTGACCAATCAGAATGGCGAATGGGCCGATAGCGTCTCCACCCTAGTAACAAGAAGCCATGCTAAAATCATTTTGATTGGCTATTCAGTTAAATAATTGACAGGTATTTATTGCTTAGTGGAAAGGTCATGAACTGTGCTTTAGAAAGATACCAAACATTCTATTGTACGTTTTCGTAAAAAAAAAATCATACTTGATATAAAAGGTAGTCTTAAAAATCATTAAATTAAGGGCTTTTTAGTATATCTAACAGTTTTAAAGTGGGTGCATTTAGTATAATAGTTCAAAATGTGTTTTTTATCAAAACATTTTTTTTTTAAATAAAATGAGTTTCTGACCCTGAAGGCCAGTATCTCGATATGAGGCCGTGCGACTTATCGCCGATTTCATGCTGCCGGGTCTCAAATTTAATATCAGTTACCATGGAATTACCCAATATATAGCATATGATGTAATTAGAAAAACAAAATACTGTAGTGGTGGTTTGTAGCACCCATTAAATTGACTGATTAAATCACTTCATTGCAATATTTTCATGTCATGGGTGTATGCAAGGAAATCCGAATATTATTTGATTATTTATTATTCTTAATTGTATCAGAAGTAACAGCAATCAAAGTAAGGTGTTTACTATGTTAATGATTATAGTGGAACATAAATGCCCCTCAATCATAAATTTATCATGACTTACATAAAATATGGTAACCCATGCTACAGTAGAAGGTAACTCAATTGTGGAAATTCAATTTGGCCGTACATATAACATAAAGGCATTGTCATCGAAATTTCCTACTTATTCATTTTTTTTAGTTCAATAATTAATAGTAATTTCTCAAAAATTTTAATCAAAAAATATATGAAGGGATTTATCATGACTGTTATTTCTGAAAGACAATCCCATAGATATTTTAATGATATACAAATAATTCATGAATATAACTATTTTCATTCAAATTATAGGCCTAATACTATTTATTATATTGAATAATTGTCATATCAATACACTGGAAGTGAAAATATTATATTTTATGTTAAATAATATAAATACTTAGTAAATAATAAGTCAATAGATACTTGTCATTGGTAATAAAGAAGAAAGGAAAATAATATTAATACTACTGAAAAAAGAAAAAGAATAAAAGTTAAAAAAAATACATTTCCACTTAATTGCATAATTAAGAGAAGCTATGATGTTTATGCCTGTGTAAGGGAAATTAATATTACGGTACACTGTAAAAAGAATAAAATGTTGACTGTAAAAAAAATTTAAAAAAATACATTTCCTTCTAGAAACCACTCAATTGCATCATTAGGAGAAGCTGATGATGTTTATGCCTATGTAGACTACACCCAGTTTCTAATTCATAATACACAAAAGCTGATACAAAGACACTCCTAGCAGCTGCAACAGAAACCTATTGTAGACCAGCATCAAGACAAACACCGCATTGTCCACCCCTACCTTACAATGGTATAATCCACTGTTGGGTGGCTTTTGACAGGGGTGGCTTTGGACAGGGGTGGCTTTATTCCTACATACGTATGCAAGGGGGGTCGGGAAGGTTGTACGACCCACCAAAAATTTTCAAAGGTCCACATTTTTCCAGACATTTTTTTCTAGGGCCTTTTCACAATGACATAAATAAAAAATCATTGATGAGGTACCAGCAATAAGTCCAAAAATCCCTGCATGTATTAGGAAGTTATTAAAATTTCACTAGGATATTTCATACTTATTCCTAATAATTATTGTCGATGGAGGGCAACCCAGATACTCAACATGAAATCCAAAATTTCTAATTAAACACACACACAAAAAAAAATCATACATCTTAAACAAAATTTTGAAGGAAATGAAACTTCAGAAAACAATAGTGTAGAAAGTGCTACATATTAAAGAGTCTATTGAGTGAAAGCAGATAAACTTGATTTCAAGTAAACAGCTTTAAGTTATTTGTGAGTACATTGTTTACTAGAATTAACTACAGAATAATGTTAAATAATTGTTTGTTAACCATTCCCAGAACTATACATTTAGGACATGATTGACTGATAGTAAGCTATACGTTCAATGATTACTGTAAACAAAAAAATGTTTTTTAGTCCAACATACATGAAATGTCACCAAATACACTGCATGTATTAGGAAGTTATTAAAATTTCACTAGGATATTTCATACTTATAGTTAACTTTTTCCTAATAATTATTGTCGATGGAGGGCAACCCAGATACTCAACATGAAATCCAAAATTTCTAATTAAACACACACACAAAAAAAAATCATACATCTTAAACAAAATTTTGAAGGAAATGAAACTTCAGAAAACAATAGTGTAGAAAGTGCTACATATTAAAGAGTATATTGAGTGAAAGCAGATAAACTTGATTTCAAGTAAACAGCTTTAAGTTATTTGTGAGTACATTGTTTACTGGAATTAACTACAGAATAATGTTAAATAATTGTTTGTTAACCATTCCCAGAACTATTCATTTAGGACATGATTGACTGATAGTAAGCTATACGTTCAATGATTACTGTGAACAAAAAATGTTTTTTAGTCCAACATACTGTACATCAAATGTCATCAAATACACATTTAACAAATACTAATGTTATTTTGGCGTTAGTTTGCGGTATGCTGTCAGTGCTGGGGAACACTCAAGAGTTCACTCACAGTTGAATCCATTCTTTCATTTTCCCTTTCATAAATTTAAGTGTGCTGCAAATAGGAAAAAAAACACAAGGGACATGATAGGTACATAAATAGAAAATGATAATAACATAATAACAATCTTAGTATTATTTTAGTTACTATATGAGAGTTTATTGCGTTAAAAACATGATTTACTATACTATACTTCTTTATAAAACATAACTTGTACTTTATAATAAGAGAAATCTGAATATTATCGGTACCTGGAACAGTAACACGAAAGTACTGTACTATGCTACTGCACTGTAATTCATAGGCCTATTTAGAGACACTATTTAGACAGGCTTTTCCTTTTCCATTTTTGATTTCAAAGGTCAAAAACATTTTTCAATTATTTTATACTATAATACTTAGCACAGGAATTTGTTCAAAGCATAAACCTGCTGAAAGTCTCATCATTGGTTAGAATGCCTAGCAGTTCAAATGTTCCCAAATTCTTTTCAAAACACACCCTGGAAATTTCTTTTCAAGAAATTCATCGACATTCTTCAGTAATGTACCAAATGATCATCACTGCTGCCTTCTTTGTATAAATACTCTTAGTTAAGAATGACAAGATTTTTCTTTCCGTTTATTTTGCCTTTGTGTTTGTACTGATGATGGGTGAGAGAGAACACCCGAAACATGTTTACAATTAAATCCTTAGTTCTTTTCTTAAAATGTGTTGTATTTTTCATCAATTTGCGTCTGTTTGGTTCCATCATTAAGGATTTTAGTTCGGAAGACCTGCCAATTTGTTTGCTTAGGAAGTATGAGAAGATATCCCTACGCTTCATTAAAGCTGAATTGGATTATCATTTTTTACACAATATATAT